TAATTTGGTTTTTTTTTAATGTTCCTTTCGTCCGAGTCACTAGAGACTAGGAGAACACGAGATTCTGCGTATACATATCTCCGGCTTCAAAAGTAAGCCCATAACCTCTACTCTTTACAGGACCTGAGACCGAGGAGTCCTTACCCCTATCCCGAAATCCCTTATCTTCTCGTAAATCCACGAAGACGAGCCAGCCCTCCAGACCAGTGTGACCAGTATTCCTTGCAGCCGCTCGCAGGGTTAGCATCCCTTGAGGATCTATTGTGTATTTCATTTGGTGACAGCGTTTCCATTACCCTCATATAACGCTCTCATTATTATTCTTTTACAAAAATTGGAAAAACTAAGAAAAGAAGTAAGTAGGTTATCGAATAAAACCAATGCATTGATGAACTTGGACACATAGATCAAAACTCTTACGGAATAAAATAAATAGATAAGAAGAGAGAAAAGGGACTCTTGGAGGAGGTTCTATCAGAGTATTTCAGATATATCTGGAAGCACTAGAATCCATAAGATTCTTTCCAAAGATCCAGCACAGGGACCAAGCCTACTGGTCCTGATGACCTGATGGCACCTTTGCCGAAACTTAAAAAGAAACGCAAAAACTCTTACTACAGAACCATTTCCCAGGATCATCAATTACTGATGAATAGATTTAGACTGAATACCGTCCTACGAAGAAAGACTTGGGGTCTTAAAAGTGGGTCATAAAACTCTTATTTAAATGTCCAGGGAAGGATGCAATATTTTCTGCCCTGCTACAAAAAGGATTGGACATTCTATTTCCCATCCTAATAAAGATCTTTAGAGCTAGCATTGCGCTAAGGTATAGACCAAAGGCTAAAGGTGATCTTTATACATAAAATAGGAATACAAGACAACGCTTTACCTAAATCCTTCGGGTCGATCAGTCTTACATCATTTCTGTTGAAAGAATAAAAAAAATTCTTGATAGACATATTAAGGAGGGCCATTGGCGGATTATTCTCCCAATGGCAACCAGCATGCATATCAAGAAGGAAAATCAACATAAATGGCACTGGACGAAGTAGTTTATAAAATCAATAAATCCATTTATAATGGGGAGATTGCATTAACTGCCTTTCTAGATATAGCAGGAGCATTTATTAATGTACTACCAAACTCTCTTTATGATGCAGAAGCATCAAAAGAGATATCCGCTACCGTATGCAACTTGATCAAAGCATTGCTGGAAAATAGGTCTGGCTGGAAAATAGGCTGGAAAAGAGGACAGTGCCTTTCCTCCCTTGTCGTTGACTCGAAAGTTTTTGCCGTTATAAATGTATGAACATTTTAATTGTTTCATTCGTGCATTTAACAAGATAATATATAGTGCGTTAAGTTTTGGATTAGGTATACACTCTATAAATGGCAACACTGCGCGTCGTCGACTTCCCACTAGGTACATATCTGCTTCGTTGACTCGTCGTTGCTCGTCGCCCGTCGGCAAATTTGAAATTTGTCATATTGTCATTATACCGTGGTTGTTTAAAGGTATAACAGCGTAGAGTTTTAATTTATTTTTGTAAACATGTCTGTTTATATGGCCGCGAAAAAAGCTCAAATAATAAAATGGTTTTATAGTGGCAATTCTGCGCAACAGTGTGTAGATTTATTTTCTGTGTTTTTTGAGGGAAGACCAAATGTTAATTCTTTGTTGTAGATATTCCGCAAGCAGTTTGCCTCAGTATCCATAGTGTGGTTTCATGAAAATTTTTATGAAATAAAAAAAAGATGTTCAAGATGCTTTTATTTTAAAGCATTGTGAAGTGCGTGCACCAGCACGTCATAAGCACAGAATAATAAACAATCAGAATGCCCACTCTTAATGGAAAATTAAGTACGCGCATCTCCTTTGCGCAGACGTTCCGCCATGTTTTAGAGGGAACCAGTGTTGTTTATGTGGTGTACATAGAAAAATTAACCCGGTTTAATTGACTTACTGCAAGACATACTATACAATTATATTAACATTGTTAAATATAATAACATTAATATAATATAATTAAACATAAATATAAACAATTACATAACCTCACAAATCATATGTCTGTGTTATGTGTTTCCTTCTAAAACATGGCGCGCGGGAAGAAAAACTTCAAAGGCGGCATCTAAGAGTGGACATTCTGATTATTTATTATTCTGTGTCATAAGTATCCGGAGGAGAAAAAAGCAAGAGAAGTGAGTGTAAAATATTTTATATACACTGCTGTTAACAAACAAAAAATACACGTATGTAGAAAGGCTTTCTTAGCTATACTTGGTATTTCCAAACACCGAGCTTTGGTTGTAATGAAAAAATTTCACAAATTGGGGACAATGCCGACCGATCAAAGGGGCGGTAACAGAGTTTCTCATTTAAAAAATGCCGACAGAAAAAAAATCAAGAATTTATCGGATCACTTAAATGTAACGAATCACACTATTGCAGATCATCCTCAAGAGTAAGAGTGTACTTAAATCCAGAGCTTAATATTAAGAAGCTGTGTCGTATGTACAATGAATCAGTCACTAACGAATTGAAAGTAAGAGCTTATTTTTTTCGTAATATATTTAACACAAAATATAATATTGGGTTTGGTTCACCTGCTACAGATGTCTGCTCTGCCTGTCTTTGTTTGAGAGAAACTATTAAACGCTGCGAGAATGAATAAGAAAAAATCAACAAAATGACTGAGTTTCGGCTGCATAAATTAAGAGCTAAAAGTTTCTTTGATATACTAAAGCATGAAAGTTCCAATGTTTACACTTTTAGTTTTGACTATTAGTAAAATATGCCCTTACCAAAAATACCCGATCAGGCAGCATACTTTTCGAGACAACTCTACGTATATAATTTTACAATAGTACAAGGCTCTTCAAAAGCAAAACTTACCAAAGACAATGTGTTTACATACACATGGACCGAGCTTGATTAACCAAAAGGTTCCTTCGAAATTGCTTCAGCAATATATCACAGGTTAAAATATACAGATTTTTCTTCTGAAATAGATAAATTCCATCTGATATGTGACAGATGTGGGGGACAAAACAAAAGTTCGACACTTGTACTTATGTGTCAAACATGGCATGATGATGCTGATATTAATAAAATTCAACTTGTCTATCCAGTTACAGGACACAGCTTTTTACCTGCTGATCGAGTTTTTGGCATTATTGAAGAGCGGTACGAAAAAAAAAACATTAATTCAACCCCAAGAAGGTTCTGATATATTTTCTGAATATACAATCGTAATTAAATATCCAGAATTTGAAGTAATTAATTGGAAAACAGAAAAAATGGAGACATTGAAAGTGCTCCCAAGTTAGCATTTCAATTACAATATTACGAGAGAAGAGTTTGCGACGACATAGAATTCTTGTTCAAGGAGAGATGTTCTACAAATCTGACACGGGAACTGCATTATCAGTAACCAAGAAAGGTAAAGCATTGTCTGGTATAAATCCTGCAGTTTTTCCTCCAGGTGTAAAGGCCAAAGAAGCAAAACTTAATTATATAAACGAGCTACTAAACAAACATTTCGGTACAAACTGGAAGCAAATGCAGGAGCTAGAATTCTATGGCGACATACGCAGGATTTTAATGATCCAATTTGTGAACATACGGAATTTATTCCTAGTTGTCGTTTGTAATATATTAATATAAAATAAATCTTTTCCTCTAAATGAGTTTTTTTTTATTTTATTACCCATATACGTTCTCCAATCAGATATAGATATTTAGTTTGGGTGCAAAAATGGACATTTCCAATTTTTATTCCTTTTTCCCTAGTTTACGCCTTATCCTATATTTTAAAATTTATAACAGGATCATTTTAATTGTTTTTAAAAATTGACAGAAGAAAAAAATCTAAAATATATTAAAAAGTAAAGTTGTAAATTGTTGTTTTTTGTAGTTTACTCAGTGAGAGTGTACTCTCACTGTGGAGAAGAAAGTGCTGCAATATAGGCATCCCAATCGGAGATGATAGATTGTACACGATACATTTCGCTGACGACCAAGCCATTCTAGCTGAAGACGAGAGTGATATAAGCTACATGCTTAAAAAACTGGAAGATGAGTACACCAAATGGTTCCTCACAATTAATATACAAAAAACTGAGTACTTAGTTGTAGGAGAAAAACCAGAAAGCCTACAAATCGAAATTGGAACTATAAAACCAACAGACAATTTTAAGTACTTGGGAGTCCAAATAACATCAAAAGCAGGAAGTAGCGAAGAAATACATTCCAGGATTGGCCAAGCAAGATCAGCCACCAGACAGCTACACGGACTATTATGGAATAAAAAAATAACAAAAGAAAATAAAAGAAGAATTTATAAAACAATAATAGAAAGTATTGGACTGTACGGCGCCGAACTCTGGGAAATAAACCAAAGAAACAAATCAAAAATTAAGGCCATGGAAATGAACTACTGGAGACGATGTTGCCAGCTCACTAGACTTGATAGGGTGAGAAACGAAGATATTCGAAGAGAAATGGAAATCGATCTAGACGTAATAGACACAATCGAAGCCAAAAGACTTAACTGGTATGGACACCTTCAGAGAATGCCGGAAAATAGATGGCCAAAAAAAATACAAGAATAGACTCCGCCAACTAGAAGAAAACGAGGTAGACCAAGACGATCCTAGAGAGACGATGTCGACGATGCAATGACCGCCAGAGATCTAACAACTGAAGATTGCTTCGACAGAAAACGCTCGAAATTAGGATGCGAGAAGCTGCGCCAGCTGTAGAAGACTCGCTTGTTATATTATATTGTAGTTTACTCAAAATAACATAACGTGGAAATGTCCGGTTTTGAATCTAAACCCCTCAAATAACACAGTTTGTTGGCCGATTTTATGCATGCGAAATACATTGATTCGAAATACATTTACCGACCGTTACCTAGAAATATTGATTAAAAACTACTACTAGTGCCTGGACTATTTGTTAAATACCGTAAATTACGAGCACAAAAACATACCTTGTCAGTGTCATCGAATTTAACCCTCAACAGAATCTGCATAACTATTAAACTCCTCTGCGCACTGGAATACTCAGTTACTCGGTCTTTTACTACAAACCTAAAACAAACATTATTATATAACTATATTCATGAATAAATGCTCATTATAATCAATATACTAATAAAAACTATGTTGTCCGACCGGAGTCATAACAGTTGTTGCACGATTATGTGTATTATGTTTCAATTCAATATACGATTGACAATCAAATCGAAGAAGCGTCAATTATTGTTTGTTTGTTTGGTTAACAGGATCGCTACTTAATGCCATTATAAAATTCAGCAGTATTATATTTTTAGAAAAATATGTCAAATCTATAATTATTAAGAAGAGAAAAGATTAAATAATTAAGTTAAGCTTTAAAACAAGCTTCTCATAACACAAGCTTTACATCTTTCAATAATCAATACTGCATTTTTTGAAATATCAAAAATATGTTGAGTTTTTTTTTAATGTAAAAGATTTTGTTAATTAATAAAAACAACAATAAACTAACCATACTAATTTGTCAAAACTTACTGTTCTTCCCTATCTCCTCCTTCAGTAGCATCATAAAAAGATGGTTCTTTATTGATAAGATCATGATTGAATTCAAAGAACTCCTTCCATCGTTTTTGCCATTTCGAATACATGGTTTCTACTTTATTAGATTCCTTTTTATCATCCTAAAATAATAATTTTCTATAGAAATCTGCTTCGTAATAAGATGATAATTACACGATCCAAAAACTCAGCTTCTCTAGAGGTTCCTATTGACTTACTTACCCATGCTTTTACAGATATTGTAATAAACCTTTTGATAGGCAATTTCATTCCCATTAAAGCTGCATACCTCGTTTTCGTTTTCCACGGTAAATGGATCTTCAGAAACCACGTTTTTCCGTCAAATGATAAATCCTTATGTTCTAGTTCTAGTTCCAAACCTTCTTTTATTAGATTCTCCTACAAAATAAATATAAAACAAATATATAATGGATACCAGAACCCACGGATACCAAAGAAGAACAAAAAAGGATATAAACAAGTAACAAGTAACGATCAGAACAATTAATTTAATAATTAGCTGAATATAACAAAATTACCGAAAAAACAGTAGTTTGCACAACTGTAGTGATAATGAATTAATATATGTTGGTAAATAATAAACTGAAATGAACTGATATAGCATTGATGAAATGAAGGATAAGTTATTCAAAGAAATATAAAATTAGTGATATAGGCATAAAAGAAAAGACGAGGCATATTAACAATAAGAAAAAAATATGTATAAATTAGAACACAAATATCTATATCTTATGTACGTTTTAGTAGTCCCGTTCTTACAAATTTATAAATAATATGTTACATCTAACCTGGAACGACTTCCTTTTATCTCTTCTTTTTGCTTCCGCTTCCGTCATCACACCAAGTTCCTCCTCTTCATATACTAAAACCATATCTATTTTTCTTCGACCATCCCTGAAATATAGACTTTCTGGATCCACAACCTGAAAAATATTTCAGACCATTATTTTAAACAGCTTATATACGTTTATAGTCCTTTTCAATCATATTGATAGCACATTATGTATGCAAATCCTCAACAGGTCAAAAAACCATAGGCGTCACCCTATACTTATTTAAAATAAATAAAAAAAAATTAATATTTTAAGATGCCGTCAACAATTCATTATATTTTAAAAAAGCTTCTGTAAAATAAGTGTCCACTAATCTCACTATACCTTTTTTTGTGCGGATGGGCAGGATTTGGAAAACTTAGTTGGATACTAAAGAACCGCAAAATACCCCAATACTTGAGGAGCAAAGTGTTCAACCAATGCATCCTTCCTATCATGACATATGGATGTCAAACCTGGACCCTAACCAAGGCAAACATGAATAAACTAGCCACAACAGAAAGAACAATGGAAAGAGAAATGTTAGGTATACGACTGTCAGATAAAAAGAGGAAGGACTGGGTAAGATCCAAAACAAAAGTCGAGGACATAACAATAAAAATTGCAAAACTTAAATGGAGCTTCGCGGGCCACACTGCTAGACAGAAAGACCAACGTTGGAATACTACAATACAACATTGGAGACTTTACGAAAGTAAACGACCAAGAGGAAGTCCACAGATGAGATGGGTTGACATTAAAAGAATAGCCGGAACAAATTGGAAATATGTTGCTCAGGATAGAGACCGATGGAAGAAGTTGGGAGAGGCCTATGTCCAAACATGGACGACAGAAGGCTAAGAAGAAGAAGCAGGAGACTTTCCTTCTATTCCGCTGGTAGATAGTAAGCCGGCTGATATTAACACCCTGTATAATTAATAAACAATAATTATACAGAGTCATCAACAGAATCAACCTTAAAAACCTTATTCAATTTTCCACTTAAGCCAAAGTTTCAAAATTATTGCTTTGCCCTGTATAAATATTTTTTATAGTATTGGATAACATTTTTTACATTCTTTTCAATTATGTATCACAAGTAGGAGTTTGTAATTTAAACTTTTTTGGTTGTGGTGGTTGGGGCCTAGGGGGTTGATGGGGGTGAGTTGTCTTTCATGTCATTTTAGTTTCCCCTTACTATCCTAAAAACGGTTTCAAGCATTTTTGGATATCAGCTTTTGTTCGGAAGCTAGAGCCCATTGTAAGTTTTAAAATTGACGACACACTGTATACAAAAAATGTACAGAACATTGAAGATCCAAATAAGAAACATAAACATAAAATAAAACATTACAAGATATCTAAGGATCTAAGCCAGAGAAATGAGATTTTTTAAAAGAGTGAAATGCATTACAAGGTTTGATAAACAGAGATGAAATGTAGGTCATGTAAAACAATTTTAGAATCTGCAACTTAACCAGTGATACAGATCGATGCTCATTCCTTTGCATTGACGGTCTTCCTCAAAGCTACAGCTTATATTAACGCTATAAAATTCAATAAATCAATCTTATTCATAATATATAATGTCGTAAAACCTCTTTTCTATTTTTTATTCAACTAGGTCAGCGATATACTGTATTAAAACGACTAAATAACTTTAAGATAATTTCAGACAATTCACTGTCAAATTCATTTTTTATTTGTCTTTGAATAATAAATGAAACTTTCTGTTTTAATAATTGGATGTTTGGCCAATGAAAAACTAGGCTTTTACAATATTATTATGAATACAGCATAATTGTTGAAAAAGTAAAGATATCATTTTTTCCAGATCATTTAAGACTGTAGCCGATACTTTTCCATTTTACTCTGCCTAATGTATGTCTTTTCTATTTATTTACCTTTTACAATTTAATATTTTTATCAGGGAATAAGCCACAGTACACACAGTAGGCCATGTATAGCATATAAAATCCTCATGTATATTATAAACCAGCGGCTCCAACCACTAGCGAAAATATTATTGGAGAGTATCAGACAGGCTTTCGACGGGGAAGATCGACACTTTATCAAATATTTACAGTCAAAAAGATCTTAAGTAAATCATGGGAACATGACATTGATGTTCACAACGTGTTTGTAGACTTCAAACAGGCATACGACTCAGTCAAAAGGAACAAGCTCTATAATATATTGGCTGAATTGACAATACCACACAAGTTAATTGGACTCATTAAAGCCACAATGCATGAAACTCAGGCATGTGTGCGAATACAAAACCACGGACATACTTTTTCAAAATTTCGCAGAGACTAAAGAAGGAAGATGGGCTGGCCCCAAATTTGTTTAACCTGGCACTGGAGTATGCGGTTAAGCCAATGCAAACTGGACAAGGAAACCTATTGACCAACCGAACGACTCAACTGGCTGCTTTGCCGATGATAGTAATATTATGAGTAGAATATCAATAGAAGCACAGGAAATATACGCAGAGTTAAAAACGCAAACAAGAAGGCTAGGTCTGGAAAATAACACAGAAAAAACAAAAATAATGATACAAACGAGAAGAAATATAGTCCCACAAAACATTATACATGAAGATGACATTACAGCGTTTGGAAAGTTTACATACCTGGGAGTAGAGATATATGCCGACGGATTAGAAGATGGAGAAATACGAAAGACAATAACTCAGGCAAACAGACCTTATTTTGCCCTCTATCATATATTTCGGTCTAAAAATGTCTACCGAAATACAAAGATGAAAATCTATAAAACATTAATTCGACCAATAGCATGTTATGGCAGTGAAGCATGAAGCATTGCAGTACAAAGATTGCAATGGGCCGGACATATGATAAGAATGGGAGAGGATAGGCTAGCAAAAAGAGTACTGAATGCTAGAATGCGGGGAAAGAAACAGGTTGGAAAACAAAGAAAGCGCTGGGAAGAGACAGTAAACAGGGACGCACAAGCTCATTTAGAAATCTGTGTATGGAGAAGATGAGCCACAGACAGGCAAGGGTGGAGACAAAAAATAAAGGAGGCCAGGCTCAATTTGTGCTGCCGTGGAAGAAGAAGGCAACAATTTTACTTTAAAATAAGTTTATTTTGTAGTCTCGATTTCTACTTCAAAAATAGCAATAGCTAACAGAACTGTTGACGGTCTCCAGAAGCATTTAAAAAATAAAAATGTAAAACGTGCCGTAAAGCTCATGATATCTTCTTCTCCTTATGGTGCCCTATCCAATTAGTGGATGTTAACGACAATTCTGGCATACTCCTCTCGATCTTGTGTGGACCTAAAAAGTGCATGGGCATCGAGGTTTGTCCAGTCCCTTATGTTTTTAAGCCATGAGTATTTCTTTCTTCCGATGATCCGTTTTCCTTCTATCTTCCCTTCCATAATATGCTTTAAGAACTGGTACTTGGAATTTCGAAATATATGACCCAGATAAGCAGTTTTTCTTCTTTTTATTATTTGCAGCAATTCTCGTTCTCTGCCCATTCGAGTTAATACTTCGGCATTTGTTGTGTGATCTATCCAGGGAATTTTAAGTAGTCTTCTACATACCCACATTTCAAAGGTCAATATATTATTATACAAGACCTTAATAAGACCGATTTTCGATATATGAGGCTGAAACGTGGACCTTATCTCACAATGATGAAAGACTTCTTGGTATTTTTAAAAGAAAAATTCGTAGAAAGATTTTTGGGGCCGTAAATGAAAATGGGCTATGGCGTCGAAGATACAACTTTAAACTATATCATTTATACACCGATCCAGATATTGTGAAATTCAATAAAGTTCAGAGACTTAGATGGGCTGTACACATTTCTAGGATGTCAGATTACGAATACACGAAGAGATTAACATTTTTAAAACCAGAGGCACAAGAAGCAGAGGACAACCACGAACAAGATGGATTGATGATGTGAAAGAAGACCTACATATTGTAAGGGTTAGAAGATGGAGGAAAGTTGCCAGGAATCGACAGGATTGGCGACTTCTTTATGAGCAGGCCAAAATCCACAACGGATTGTCGAGCCACTTATGATGATGATGTAATCTCTGACGGCTATACTAATGAACACTATTATTGTTGATTGTTGATTAAATAAAAATAATTATCAAAAACTTACTTGTTCTCTTTCTACTGGAGTAACGGGCACTGAACTATCTGGAATTTCTTCGTTTTCTTGAACTAAAGATGGCAGTGGAGTACCAGGTAGATTCATATGAGAGTCATCGCTAAGTTGTGGTCCAAATGCATCCTTCATGGTAATTGTACTTGAAGTATTCGACTAGAATAAAATGTAAAATTGTAAAATATTATTATCACTAAAAAATATAAACTTAAAATTGGTTAAACACCGGTATTTTAAAAGAAGAATGATTTAAAAAGAATAAAATTATTTTACATATAAAATTTTAATTGATTTTTTTTTGTAATAACAGGGGGTAAATGTTATATTCATACCGAGATATAGGGTAGACACCATTACAGGTTAAAAACATCAGACTATATGTCTCTTAGCAAAGACAATGACGTGGACTTTGCTAAGTATCAAGACAATTACTCTACACACACACACACACACACACACACACACACACACACACACACACACACACACACACACACACACACACACACACACACACACACACACACACACACACACACTACACATCAAATTGTAAGATTGGCGAATGGATTTAGTGTCCGCAGTCATTTAAACACAAACAAACAAATCCAGTCGTCAAAAACAAAAATGCTACTGAACCTCTAAAAATCATACAAACAAGCTAAATTTTACCAAAAATAACAATTTTTGGATGCTAAAAAAGATGCACACAAGTTTACCACTTTTTCCCCGGACTTTGTCCTAAAACCCCCCACGTATTGGGAGGAAGACGAAAAAAAATCAATTTACCAAGAATCTGTACGCCATAGAAAAAGATGTTTCGAATAAAAAATATAGCTAAGATAATTTTAACACAAATTCAAGTTCGGCGTAGACTCGGCGACGAGAGGGCCTTTTAAACCTCGAGAACTATCGCCTGGAGAACGAAGAGCGAATCCAGCACTAAGGTTAGTCAGACGGCGTCCTGGACTGAGGTTGTAGCGTTTTTAAATTTTATAATACGACAAAAATATATTTTTTGTCCATGTATACTTTCCTTTTGTTACAAAGTCAGATAGAACTCCGGTTTAAAAACTACGTGCTATTTTGTTAATTTGTATTATGTTATACCGGGTGGTAAATCGTCAAACAGGCCATAGGAAACTCAATGGGAAATTTTAAATTGTTGAATTGCTGCTTCCCTAATTATTTTAGATCAAAAGTCACAAAAAACTATTTGTAGAGGACTAAAACCTGAATTAAAAACAAATGTTAAAACCGTTCTACGAATCAAATGTACTTCAAAATTTTGCAAAAATATAATAGATTTTTCAGACCACCCCTAAAAGTTAGGCCACACGTAATACAAGAATACATAACGTGCGTGTTTTATCATATTGATGTCACGTGTTTGACAATTTGAATTGTCATTTTTTTTATTTTATGATTAAATTATAAACAATGAATTTTACTAAATACTACTACTACTGAACAATATTACTTTGTGAACAAATAAATTATATTGTTTACAAATCGATCAATATAATAAAATGTACTCAGTTGACGAAAAATCGCATAATGTTGTATTCAGGCAATAGCGCGAACCTTTTCCTGTCACTACCGGATCTTTATTTAACGTAAAATATTCTAATACACTAAAATTTATTTCCATGTTAAGTTATACAACAATTCAATGAATTCCAATATACTGTTACTGTGATCTTTATTCCTAATAATAATATATGATAATTTCTAAATATAAAACTATAACAAATGTTATAATAAAACATGAATACATACAAACTATAACAAATGTTATAATAAAACATGAACATTTTTATTATTGCTCTTTTCTACTTAACTGAGTACATTTTTTAATCAACTTAATTTTTCTTTTAAATAATAAATCACAAAATTTTGGCCATTTAAATCATACATAAATATAATATAGTTGGTTTAAATATTGTCAAATATTAGAAACGTCAATATGACAAAACGCAACACGTAATACACATTTTTTTCACGGCGTCTGGCCTGACTTTTAGGGGTGGCCTGAAAAATGTATTATATTTTAGCAAAATTTTGGAATACGTTTAAGTCGTAGAACAATTTTAACAATTGTTTTCGATACATATTTGAGTCCTCTAGAAATAGTTTTCCATGACTTTTGGTGTAAAATAATTAGGCCCGTTTGACGATTCACCACCCTGTATCTATTTCGACAAGTTTTTTTGTCGCCTAGAGGATTATATTTCATGATGCCCCCTAATATAAAAAATAGTTTTTATTTGTCTTTCGTCGTTAAAACGCAATAAACTGGAATATTTAAAAAGTTGTTTTTATCGTCTAGAAAGAGGGTCGCCCACACCGATATTAGATTTAGGTCAAAAGGGGAAGATTGTTTGTTTTAAGTTTGTGGACGACAGGCTAGCTGTAAGACGGAAGGGAAATTATTTGTAAAATGTAACGTAGTAAATCTTGTCCAAGATTTGATTTGAAATGGGGCAGACATGTGACAATTGAGTCAAAGATTTGAAACGGAGAAGACGTTTTGATTTGTCGGTAAAGAGACCGGCAAAATTGATTGAAAATAGTAGACTCTATGTAATATGTCAGTTTAGAAAAGAGTCACCACTATTTCTATTTTTTTTGAGTACATTAGAAGATTTGTATAGATACCGTTTTGAAAAGTATTATATAGAATGTCCCCGTAAGTCAACTTGATTCCTCCACCAAGTTCCTGTTTAGATCGTTCCTGCCTGAGTTCGGAAATGGTTTCCTGTTTTTTATTGTGATTATGTGAATTAAGGTAACAATTTAATATAATAATAATAATAATAATAATAATAATCGTAAAGAACGACATTACCACGGTATTTAGGAGGACGAGGACTTATTGATATAAGCGAACAATTAGATAAACAGATCAATAATTTAAGAACTTATTTTCAGGTGCAGGCGGAGACATCTACTCTTCATCGCGCGATTTGCGCAGTAGACGACACAACACCGATCAACCTGAGGGAACAAGAAATGCGCATAAACCATCTTACTAAGAACGAAAAAATGCGCATCTGGATGGGTAAACCTCTGCACGGGCGACATCCGAATGAAGTCAGTCAAGACTATGTCGACAATATAGCGTCGAACTATTGGCTGACATCAGAAAGATGTTCCCTGAAACAGAAGGTTCATTACTCGCCATTCAGGATCAGGTTATACCAACCAAAAATTACCTGAAATATATTGTCAAAGACCCTCAGGTCCAAAACGACAAATGCCGATATGGATGTCAAGCCCAAGAAACGATCCAACATCTTACCGGAGGCTGCCAGGCATTTGCTGCAACTGAATATAAGGAACGGCATGACTCAGTAGGGAAGATCCTCCATCAAGAGATAGCTATTAAACTGGGACTTCTACAAACAAACCATCTCCCATATTATCAATACGTTCCAGAGAGTATGCTTGAGAATAACAACTACAAGCTATACTGGGATCGTACTGTGCTCACAGACCAAACTGTAGCACATAATAGACCAGATCTCGTGCTAGTTAATAAACTAACAAGACAAACAACTCTAATCGATGTGGCGATACCTAACAACAATAACCTGCGTGTTAAGTACAATGAAAAGATCGCCAAGTACAGAGATCTGGAAATACAAATAAGAAGACAATGGAGAATGGAAAGTACCCAGACGATACCGATTATTCTTTCTACCACTGGAGTCATTCCGAAGAACCTCCTAGAAAACATAAAAAAGCTGGGTCTAAATGAACATCTATATAAGGTCATGCAGAAAGCTGTGCTACTTTCGACGTCTAGATGCGTGCGAAAATTTATAGGAGATACACCGACGTACCAAGTCACCTAGGACTCGATAACATGGAAAGAGTCCCACCAGAGCTCAATCCTTTTGATACCGTAGGTATCTGGGATGAGTGAATTTTCCCCTTAGAGGGAGTGTGAGCCGTATGGCTAAATCTGGAGAATAATAATAATAAATGTCTTTATTAACAAGTAAATTAAATTTTTCTTTACAATATATATATATATATATATATATATATATATATATATATATATATATATATAACACTGTTTTTGATGGGTTGGAGTCAATAAAAGGGGCTATTTGTTGACTATTTTTTACTCGAGCTTTCAATTGTGATTACAATTTTTATCAAGAGCTTCTAAAAATACAAAATATCTTACAAAGTTGAACTAGAAATAAATAATGTTGTTGTTAACTCACCAAATAAAATTAGTTATTTATATAAAACTGCTGCTAACATTATTACAAAAAATATTATTAAAAAAAAAAAAAAAAAAAAAAAAAAAAAAAAAAAAAAAAAAAAAAAAATAAAAAATAAAATTTTGTAATAATGTTAGCAGCAGTTTTATATAAATAACTAATTTTATTTGGTGAGTTAACAACAACATTATTTATTTCTAGTTCAACTTTGTAAGATATTTTGTATTTTTAGAAGCTCTTGATAAAAATTGTAATCACAATTGAAAGCTCGAGTAAAAAATAGTCAACAAATAGCCCCTTTTATTGACTCCAACCCATCAAAAACAGTGTTATATTTTTTCCAAACGAGTCACAAGTACTTCTTTTTTCTTACTCTTATATATATATATATATATATATATATATATATATATATATATATATATATATATATTATATATATTAAGGTAACAAGTTATAAAGACATTTTTAATAATTTGCTTTCATTAAAAATAAACGAATTTGTAATAATTAAAGTTTTATATTATTTTTGTCGTAGCTAAAAAATGTCATATTTTATTCTGTCTTAAGTTGTTATGTTGACATATGACATTTTGCTTTAATCCATTGTTGTTATAAGACAATTTTAATTTGATTATTTTATACAAAAGATATTCCATATGTAAGTCTAAATTCAATAATATTTTTCATAAAAAAAATATCCATAACATTTTGATAATCTAAATTGGCCATATATAACCTAGGAACCATTTAAAATTTTTGTAGCAATCTTTTATGTAAACAAAGAACACGTAAGTTCTTTTATAATCTGTATTTTTGATAACTGTTTGTTTGAGACAAAAATAAACGTTTAGTTTGTTTCTCTGATCTATTTTGAGTTTTATTTGAAAAATATATTTTTTCTATGTTTTTGATGTT